TATGGTCGGTGTATCTTGTGAGAACTCAGGTCTAGCCTGGTTAACTAATCGCACGGATTAAAATCAAGTAACGATTAGTGGCTGTGTCTGTGTCTGGTAAAGTTATGTAGGGTCCTAAAAAAATGAAATAAATAAATAAATAAAATAAAAATTCCCACACTCACATTGGAAATCTAGAGATAGTATGTAATTCATACTTACCAACATAGCTATTGATGGGCACAATAGCCAACGCTATCAGGACAAAACAAAACAAAAAAATCATTATAATAATTCCTGTAATTTTATTAAATGGAGTTTATTGTGTAAGTGTTTCTTTGGCTTTGCGTTTGGATTGAATACGAGTGGGTTGTGATGACGTGGTGTGTTTCTGTGAAGAAGGAGTTTTGTGTTTTTTAACTGTGCTAGGGCGTGTAACTTTATTGGGTGGACCTGTCTTTGTAGTGCATGTTGCGATACTTGTATTTATTGCGTTTGTTTGTTCAGGAAGTTGTGTTTGTGTGGTTGGTTGAGTTAAGGGTGGAGATATTACAGTATGTTGTGTGTCATGTTGTGAGTCTAAAGTGCTGTTTAGGTTTTTGCGTTTGTGTTGAATACTAATGGGTCGTGATAATGTGGTTTGCTTCAGAGGTGAATCTCTGATTGTAGTATATGTTGTATCATTTGTTGTACTTGTTTGTTCGGTAAGTTGTATTTGTGTGTTTGTTTGGGTTAGAGGTGGAGATATTACAGAATGTTGTGTACCGTGTTGTGAGCGAGTACTGTTGTTTACATGTATACGTTGTGGATCATTTGTGTATGTAGTATCTTGTGTTATGTTTAGAAATTTACGCACAATATGGCATGTGTTGATAATGACTGCTTTTTGTAAATGTTTGTATGTGTTTTTGTTTAAACCTAATAGTTGTAAATTGTGGTGTATTGTCTTTGGTATAACACCGGTAGCACTAAGAATAATGGGAACTATAACAGTAGATTTCATTCTTCATTGCGTCTTAAACTCGATAGCTATATCGGTGTATTTACGGTGTTTTTCTGCATGTGTTTTAGTTAAGTTGTTAGTGTTGGGTATGGCAATGTCTATAATACAAATGGATTTTTGTGTTTTATCTATAAGTGTAATATCTGGTCTATTATTGTGGATAGTTTTGTCTGTGAGTAGTGTCCTGTCCCAATATAATTTGTGTGTGTTGTTTTCAAGTATGATCTGTGGCGTGTATTTGTAGTATGGTGTCGTATCTGTTATGAGATTGTGTTTAAGTGCTAATTTTTGATGTATGATTTTAGCTACCTGATCATGTCGATGTTTGTATTCAGTTTGTGCGAGTCGTGTGCATGCCGATATTATATGTTGGATTGTTTCTGATGTTTGTGAACAGAGTCGACAAGAATCGTTTGTCACTGTTTTATCTTTATGTATGTGTTTTTTATAGTTACGTATGTTAATGACCTGGTCTTGTATTGCTAACATGAAACCCTCAGTCTCCGGGAAGACATCACGTTCAGACAACCAACTGTGCGTTGCTATAGAATCAACACAATCTTGGCTAACCTCTTGTGGAAATCGTCCATGTAAAGGCTTTTGGTTCCATGTTTGTATGTTATTTGTGATGTATGTAAGTTTGGATGTAGGTGGGAGTATATTAGTTTCGTGTAGGTTAAGTGGTGTGTAAGATTTGTCTGCATATGTTACTGTTTTGTGTAGGACTGAAGTATCTGAATTCTTATAAAAGTATTGTCGCAAATTGTGTATTTGTGTTTGGTACAATAGTTTTATATCTGTAAGTCCTCTACCTCCTTCCGAACGAGGAAGGTAAAGTCGTATAGTAGAGGAGTGAGGGTGATGTATATGGTGTTTTGTTAATTGTCGCAACACAGCTAATATTTTTGATATGAGTAGGCGAATGTCAATGAAGCAAATGTAAGAAAAATAATAAAAAGTCATTCGAAATAAAGTTGTAAGGTTTTTCAAGTGTTGGTTGGTTGTTATATGACTATCAGGTTTTCCTCGTGTTTACTAACACTTATTCAACGTGTGCAAGTATTGGCAACGCAATATTTTCCCGACCAGAATCGAAACGGTGAATTTGATCTTCGGCGGGATACAACATTAATAGTGTACGTGTGTTTCTCTGTATTTGTTCTAAATCTGTATTTGTCCAACGTATAATCCCAAAAGAGTATGTAAGCACTGGTGTGGCATAAGTGTTAATAGCTTGATTGTATTTCTACCGTGTAATTTTGTTTTAAGTATACTGCGTACTCTTTGTAGGTATTGTGTGATAAGTGTTTGTTTTATACTCGTATGTTTAATGTGTGTGTTTTGCTGAAAACCAAGATACTTATAAGTTTCATTCTCGTCCATGGAATTTATTAAATTACCCTGTTCTAGCTCATAATCTAAAAGTTGTCTTTTTCCAGCTGTGATGTGTTGTGTTTTACATTTATCGATTCCAAAGTCCATTTGTATGTCACGTGAGAATGTTTCGGTAATGTGTAGAAGGTGATTAAGTTTTATGCTTGTGGAAGAGTATAATTTTAAGATCGTCCATGTAAAACAGGTGTGTAATGTTGTGATGTATTTCGTGGTTGTGTTTAATATTGTACCCAAAGTTAGTAGTGTTTAACAAATATGAAAGTGGATTAAGAGCAAGACAAAACCAGAGCGGACTTAAAGAATCGCCTTGAAAAATTCCTCTTTTAATTTGTATTGGGTCGGTAATAAGTTTTGTGTCGTTTAGTGTAAGTGTTAACGTAGTATTCCAACATGACATTATGTAATTGAGGAATTGTGTAATATTGTTGCTGACTTTGTATATTGAGAGTACTTGTTGTAACCAAGAGTGTGGTACTGAATCAAATGCTTTTTTGTAATCAATGTATGCAGTGTGTATGTTTCGTTTGTTATGTCTGGATTGTTCAAGTATAACAGAGTCTATAATGAGTTGCTCTTTACAGCCTCTGGAATACTTGGTACACCCTTTTTGTTCTTCGTATAGAATGTTGTTATCAGTACAGTGTTGGTATATTTTGTTTGTAATGCATGATGTAAAGATTTTGTATATTGTAGGAAGGCATGTAATTGGTCTATATTTAGATGGGTCTTGTGTATTGTTGTCTTTTGGGAGCATGTAAGTGATACCTTGTGTAAAGAATGCAGGAGTGCGATCTGGTGAATTAAGAAGTTCAGTAAATTGTTGTGCAAGGTTAGAGTGAGTGTAGGTAAAATATTTCCACCAAAAGTTGTGAATGTTATCAATGCCTGGACTTTTCCAGTTATGTAAGTGATTAATAGTTTGAATGATGTCTGTTGTAATGATGTTTGTGTTATTCATAGGGGTAATGTATTCAGTACGTGTGGTTTCTGTGGTAATCCACGGGGCTTGTGGATTGTGTTTAATGTCTTTGGTCCATAAGTCAGACCAGAATTGCTGGAGTGAGTGTAGAGATGGTGGAATTAGTTTTTCATTAGTGCTGTTTTGTGTTAGTGATCTGTAAAATAGTTTTTCGTTATGTTTAAATTGTGTGTTATGGCGCTTTCTGTCTGCAGTTTCCCTATAGCGTTTTAGACGGTTTGTGTATATTGATAGTTTTTGTGTCAGTGTATCTCTATGTTCGTTATAGTTTGTATTTTGTTCTCGTGTGGTGTAATTGTTTAGTTTTGTAGTTATGTGTTGTACTTGTCGTGTTAGTTTTGAAGAACGAGTTCCTTGTATGTATTGTGTAATCCGACCTAAGTCACGTCTGATGTCATCGATGCGATTTATCAGGCGTTTTTCCCAGGCCGGGGGTGAGCGTTTTTTTGTTGTGTGCTGTTGTTTGTTTATTGCTATTCTTGCACCGTTACATCTAGAAACTGCAACCGCACCGCAATACACAACAAAGTGTAGTTGATGTAAGCTTGTGTTATCGTTAATGTAATTTGGTAAAATGTGGTCATTTAATGTTTGTGAAAGTGTGCGTAATTTTTAGTGTGACTTTGTTTAGGTATTCGTGGTCTTTGTGTTGGGTCAGTGTTTGAGAATTCTAATAATGCATTGTCGAATTCTTTTTGAAGGGATGTGAGTGTTTGGTTCGTGTGATTATTTGTATCTATCGATGGCTGCAGTGTCGCAAATGTCTGTATTTCAGAGTTGTTTAGAACGGATGTATTATGTTGTACGGTGAGTGTGTTGTTTGTGTTGAGTAGTGCTTCAATTTCGTGCCTGATTTGTTCCTGTGTGTCTAATGTAAGGAGTGTATTTTTAATAATAACTATACGTTGGTCTGCAATGCGTTGTTCTGTTAAGTGTGCTAAATGTGGGTATTGTGTAATGAAAGCGTGATATAGTTTACCTCTGTATGCTGTCCTGTCCGTTTCCATCTTCGTGATCTCCAGATACGTACCAAAAATGAAGCGATTCATCCCTTCGTCCCATTTCATACGTCTTTTGGAGGTTTCCTTTGCGCTGGTCCCATCCACAAGCGGTTGCGAAGCAGGCACAAAGGTCTCTTCATGGCGGTCCTCTTCAGGTGGTCGTTGTCCTCTTCGTAGTCTTTTTTCGGCTGTAGAGGTTTCGGGTATCCCGACGAGCGGCCGCCTGTTCACCAACTCGTCACTATCGGCTCGCATGCTGCAACGCCCAGCGATAGCTCCAGACGTGCCCTGACGCTCCTCAGGTAGCGGCATTTTTCCGAGGCTTTGTTCAAACTCCATTTTCATGAGAATATGGGGTGACTAGGAACACGTGAAGGCGTCACTCTTCAAGATATTCGCGTAAGCAAATATCCACCTGCGTGTTGGGTATAATGTAGGAAAGTAGGGAACATGGGCGTGGGAGTTGGAAAGTAAAGTGGGTAGGTAAGTACCTACTAAAGGTGGTTGGACTTGTCACCTTTAGTGCCCATTGATCGCCTTTTACGATCTCTAGGGCGAGAGTGGGCCTATTCTATCCCCGAACCCACAGGGTTATTATTATTATTATTATATTAGAGGTAGCCATATATTTAGATAGATAGAGTACATGGTTACAATCCATTATCTAAGCAATTGTTTTTTTATTACGCTGAGATTCGTCAGTACCTGGGAACATCGAACCATTGGTACCTCTTATCTTGGGTCGTGTCATATGCGTACTCCACGCACTTTTTACGCCTGTAAAGAAGAAATTGCACATCATTTGACTCCGATGATGATAATTACATACGGCGTGTACTCATATTTGATGCATGCCACTATGGGATAGTCCTCTCGAAAGCACTGCGTTCCCAAAATGTTGAAATAAATAAGCCCAACGTTATTGGACACCTTTGAGCTGACATTCTTGAGGCAATCATAAAAGTCGTAATCACAGTCGCAGACCAACCTAATTGACGGAAACGTAATGAGGCAAACTTGGCAGAAGTACAAACCTGGTGTAAAACGCATCGTTGGTCAAGTTGTGGCGGGTCCCGCCAGCCTCAATTGTATCGTTACAGAAATCGTGAGTTCGGCAGCACTTGTCCGTGTCCGCTGCAATTCCGAGATCCTCGTTGTTTGCTGAGATATTCCCTGCACCACACCACTTGGTCCCTGGAACAATCTCGCGTCGATTGGCACCTTTTGAGATCGAAACCACTTACCTGGGAAGATAGCGAACCAGTTGGGCAAACGACCATCGTCGTTCGTATCAGTCTCGTACCTTCCCCTTGTGTTATCAAGAAACATAGCACTCGCCCAAAAACGCAACACCAGCGTTACGATGGTTACTAGTGCAATGCTCTTCATGATTTGCTTTTTGCCGAAGCTAAATTGCAGTTTATATAGTGCACTAATGATTTGCATATCAGAAAAAATATGTATTTGTGTTCTGTGATAGAATGGCCTTGTTTCAGTGGCGGCTTTAATTTGCCCTTACTAACTGATCCATCGTTTAAGGACCCGGGGAGAGGAAACAAAACTTTGTACATTGTCCGAGAAATCGCCGGTACGATCCTGTTTCCTTTTAATTGGGCACACAAATTACGCAGAAATGGTTGAGGTAATTACGCGCCCTTCGCTTCGAGATAACGTATACAATTTATGGCATAAAAATGTAGTTATTAATAAATTCTTCACTTCACAGAGTGTTTTGTTAAACAAATTTGAAATGGCACACTTAGATTGTATATTTAAGAATGGGATGTAATGAGGTTAGCCAAATAAATGCAAAGTGTGGACACGAAGCAAAGGTCGTGCTAATCCGTTCAAAAACCATGAAAACTATTTCATCTTCGCAATGGATTTCCAATGGAAACAGATCAGGACGGTAGTGTAAGTTTTAGGCATATGGGCGCATGGCGATGTATATCCTGGCGGCGTACACTCCGGCACCGTTTTCGGGGCGATAATCCATTCCGGCGACCAATCTTGTTTACACAATTGCCAACGGTGCCAAGGACGCATTTTTTGACAATTGCGTTTTACCGTTTACCTACGCAGGTAGATACCAGAAAACTTTACTCAACTATAAATGGCATAATTTCAATTTGATACTACAGTCCCTATTCCGATTGTATTATATCTAGGAAAGAAAAAGCACACAAATACGAAAACTTAATTCCGGTGAATTGTTTCAATATAATAAACATGAATTTACTTCATATTTACTTAAATGTTTTCCATCCCCCCGATCTCAGAGTTCAAATTGCTGGGTCGACCGAAGCCGCGACTGCCCATCGTCGGATTTAGATGGCCGGGATAACCGAAGCCGGGAAGTAAATGGTCGTCGAGATGGCTTATCGTCGGGAAATCGGTGCCAAGGTGACCGTGGCCGTGGGATACATGCCAAATTTTAATTAGTGTGTGCCAGTTGACTGTAACATTTTGATTTTCTCATATTGTTTGAGGATCACAGTTTTTTTTCCAATTGTATCGGTTTTAGTTTAGCGAAATCGTATTACTGGTACATTTTTAATAAAGAGATGTTGGGTTAGGCTATTTTTTGTTTCCTCCCTTGCTGATACTTTGCAGACAACGACGTTTAAGTTTAGTTCTATCCCAGGTTCTACCCATCGCTTGTCGGTTCATTCGCAAAATCGTTAAATATAATTATATTCTGGCGAGTAACCGGATGGGATGTGAAGTAATTAAATTAGGTGGATACGTAAATGGTCATTTCCCAATCACCTTGTATGTACATTGTACGTTCTCATATGGAGTTTGAACCAATTTACTTCTAAATCGTTGCCGGATTACAATTATTTTCCAAAACCACCCCCTAAGTGGGATAAAATTTACCTTTTTTGACATTTTTCTTAATAACTCTAAAACGAAGCATTTTAAGAAAAAATGCAAAAGAATTGTAGAGAAAAAATAATAATAATAATATATATTTCATCTTTTAGCCATTTAGGCTTTTAGCCAAGTAGGTATACATCAAACTTTTTAGACGTTGAGAGGCGCAAATAAAATTTTCCTCAACCCATTGAAGTACATCGAAATACCGCTTTGTAATATTTCTATAAAACTCCAGAAACTGTTCTCTTAGGTCGATGAATTCAATACTGCCTGCAAGAGGGAAGTGACACTCCGTAACTCTAAACAACCACCCCCATCGCAATCGTGGGCGTCTCGACTTGTACGGCTCCTCAATATATCTTTTCTTTCTATCTTTTCTTTCTTTCTTTCTTTTCTTTCTTTTTTCTTTTTTTTCTTTTATTTCTTCTGTTTCTTTTCTTTCTAAATGGGTAGCTTAGAAGCATATAAAAGGTTTCTTTCTTTTCTTTCTAAAGGGGTAGCTTAGAAGCATATAAAAGGATTTTTTTATTGTGCACCAAAATTTTATAACCTACTCTTGGTTAAAGCCTTTCAAAGAACACTCGTTTTTTTCTAAAAAAATTTAAATCGTGGCTCTTTACCATACAAAACGTTGAAATTTTATTTAAATAAATTAATTTGTTTCTTCTTCAAATAGCATCATTGTTATTAATTATTTGCAATACTTTATCCGGTAACACGCACACACAAGATTGTTTTTAATAGGCATCTTTTTTGTTTTTTTTTTGCTATTGCATAAAATAAAGTATACCTCCTGTCCTGTTCACCATCACTACATTCCATTATATTTTCTGACGGTAATCTCCATATAGCAATGTTAAGGAGAACACTTTTAGTCTAATTTTATTTTATTGTATTGTAACAAAAACAATTTTTTTCTATTTCGGTGTTACAATGATGATTTTGTACAAAACAGTTGCACAAAGACAGTGATTATAGTCGTTTTTTTTGGTAACTCATCTCTTAAGTTGGCAGTTACTAGTTAGTACAAGTAGGTACTTCGTTGGGTACTTCCATGTTTGAACTTCAAAATGTCAGTCTTACTACGCTGCCAGCCTAAAACTTAACGGCATAAAAAGTGTTCCCAACATAAAACATGTTAGTTCTAATGTTCCCTATAGTTTCTGATAATGATTTTTTTAAATTAAATTAAAGCACCGAAATAGAAAAAATAGTATGAAAAACGCGTGTTACAATGCTTTATTGTAATACTCCTATCTTGCGGTCACTCGTGGCTACGCTTCGCGTCGCCACTCGTGCCACAAGATAGTCGTATTACAATAGATCGCATTGTAACACTTGTCTTTCAATATACTATTGTCGTTTTGAATGTATTATTTTTATTTTTTTTTTGTTTTCTTTTGTGTTTTGGAAAAATAAACTTTCTTTCCTTTTTTTCTTTTCATTACTTTCTTTCCTTTCTCTCCATTCTTTCCTTTTTTTTCCTTTCTCTCTTTTTCTCCTTTCTTTCCTTTCTTTGTCTTCTTTCCTTCCTTTCCTTCCTTTCCTTTCTTTCTTTTAATCAATGTAATTTAATAGTTTGGGTCCGATTGTTTTCAAATTGGTGTCATTAAAAATCTTGTGAACGCGTTTTCTAAAGCCCAAATCGCGGTCTCTCTTTCTCTTGTCGCCAATAGAAGCTCGAGCTATGAGAAGTGCCCAAAAAATGGAGTACTATTTTGTGGAGCATTTTTAACGCTACCAAAATACGAATTGGATACCGCCAAAGGGAATGTGATAGTCCCCGAGAAGATCTTACTGGTGGAAGAGTCAAAATTTGCTAGTAGAATATTGATCTGCCATACAAAAATGGGCTGAAATCCCTTCGATAGAGGACTTTGATAATTTTTTATTAAATAGATTTTTCCACATTTCATGTATCCTAACAGTCGTAATATGAAGTTTTCTTTTTCTTCATTTGTTCAATTTTTGATGAAATAAAGTTCAAAATACATGGTTCTTTTCTTTTTGAAGACTAAAAAGACCAAAAAAGCCATTCTTTGGACAGACTTCGAATACCGTGCGGTAAAAAACTAAAATGAAACGAAAACGCAAAGAAGTGTTTAAAAAAATTTAAAAATTGTGTACAACTGGTATTTTTCATGGTATTTTTTGAATTTTTTATATGAACCTCTTTTGAATTTGTTTAAATCGCTTCAATCTTTTATAAGCGTTTAAAAAAATTAAAAAAATTCAAAGATTGTGTATAATTGGTATTTTTTTAATTTTCTATGTGAATCTTTTTTGAATTCTTTTAAATCGCTTGAATCTTTTGTTTTTCTAATTATCCCTGGTGTGCTATAGTTTTGAAAAGACAATTAAGTATTCTGTCTGTTTAGCTTAAAATATACAGTCTCCCATTAAAAAAAAATGAGGTTAGGTCCAATAACTTTCTTCTTGACCTCGTAAACTTACTTTGAAAAAGGTAGATTATTAAACATTATTTGTGATAAACACATTTCCGATAATTTAATAAACAAAGAAATCATAGGCTTCTATCTAAAAATACTTATAGTTTAAGAATTTCCCTATACCAATGACCATTTGGTCACCCTATACAGAGCAAATAATATTTAAATTGTCCCATTTTAATAGTTGACATAATTCCAAATGCCAAGCACCCTTCTCTATATTTGATCATGCTACATTCATATTAAGCAATTTTCAAGAGCGGGCCAAGTGAGTTTCAAGCCCGCTCTTGCCCCCCCCCCCCCTGACTACGGCCCTGCCCTCGACCTATGTTACAGATCCCCGAGCAATCCAAACCACGCATACGCATTTCCGGCGCTGAGCAGAAGAGACGAAAGAAGGGTAGAGTCAAATGAGTCACACTGCTCCAACAGTTGCCTCCAAACCATCCACCTACCGTGATCCAACCCCTGGCACAGAGGCTGGCTCCTGCAGCTAACCTCGGGCAGGCGGGTAAACGGGTAGGTGAAAAGAAAAAGAGGGAGAGTGAAAATTTGCTCAAGAAATAATTATAATAAAGTATGGATTTTTGACATTACTCCCGAATATCTGGCATTTTGGAAAATAATAGCAATCTAACCCTTGAACAGCAACAATCTCGTTTACACGATTTCTTAAAAACTAAATTTGGCGTATCGGAAGGGCGCTGGGTTACGCAACGAAGATAGATCACGAAAATGTTCTATATAGATTGCTTCGAAGTAACTCGGTTCCCCTATTTAAGCAACAAATTTTGGACAATGAACTTAATAAAATGTTGCAAATGGACGTAATAGAACCATATACAAGTGCGTGGTCGTCACCATTAGCCAAGAGTATACATTTTGTGTTGATTTTAGAGCATTAATTAATTAAATAAGGTAAAAAAGAAGATGCTTATCCCCTCCTCCACATATCCGCAATTTTAGATAGACTGCGCGGGGATAAATATCTGAATTTCCTCAATATTAAATTGGTCTATTGGCAAATGGCGGTTAAAGCATCATGCCGGAAATACACGTAAGATTTTAGAACAGGTTTTCCTTCTTTTTGTGATTCCTCAAGTAGTAATATGTCATAACGGAGTGCACATGCGTAGTAATCAATTCCAAAATGTATGCGCTCAGTACCACTATAAGATTTCCTAGTCAAAGTAGTCAAAACCATGATTTTATGTTATGTAAAAGATAGTCAAAGAATGACAATTTAGCATCCTCTGCGTGTGCCATAAGCACTGCATCCAAATCTCTGACCTAATCTCTTTTGTTAGTGTACGAGCATTCAGCCTTGCTGAATGGCTACGGAATTTTTGTTGATATATTTCCGTTTGACATTGTGGAATTTACCAAAACCATAGCAACAACAATTACAAACGTTTTTAACGGAAATATTTCATTGTTAAGTCTTAGCCAACATTTGTTTGACAAACAGATAAACGCGAGGATGGGATCATAAAATTCTGACGTCCTGAGTTTCTCGGTAATTAGCAACACAATCCGGTATCAAAAACGTACAAAACTGCTTATATAATACAATAAATGTATCAAGTTTTTTCTTAATATTTGCACGTGTTTTTCAGATTATGATCTGAGATATCAGCATGTAGTAGAGCTTCACATTATTTAAATACAAAAAAAATGTATGGTACATTGTTTATTATGCTCAATGGCTAAAATTATGAAGCAAGTTCTAGGTGACGACCTTGAAGTTGAAGCGAAAGGTAGGTATTCTGATAGGAGAGGATCATATTCATTTCATTATCACAAGAGAATTTGAGTCTCTAATAAAGAACGCCTTGTGCGTATCAAGGTGTATGTTAGACAAGCACAAATGGGATCTCCTTGTTCAGTTCATGGCTGAGAAGGGCAGTCTAATTGTAGGGATGATGAGTACAGAGGTATTTGGAGTTAGTCACGGTGTCGGTCCGAGGTCAAAGGAAGACAAGCGTACGGAATAGATCGTCGAGTTAACCACGAGGAGAGTTGACTCGAGACTTTGGAAAACAAGTTTGCTCTGGTGTGGTGAAAATGTGTGTCTTCCTGAGAGAGACATCTCTTCTGGAGGAAAATAAAATCAGAGTGGTTTTGGATGCGGCCACAAAGAACCATAGAATGACTCTTAACGACGACAATGTTCTGACAGGTCCGGACTTTGTTGAGGTTCAGAGAGAGAAGAGCTGCCTTCACGACTGACATTCAGGAAAATGCAATGGTCGCTCTTGAGGAAAGACAAGTTGCTGCCTGTTGAGAGTGGCAGATGAGCGTGATAATATTGAGACCTACCAGTAAAGCGATGTCAATTCCACATAAACTAATACACATTATTAACCTTGGCAATAGACTGGAGTAGTGGTACTCTAATTCATAATAAAATGACATTGTGACAATTAAATCTCTTAAACGAAAATCTATGGTAAGAAATGATATTAGATAAACAAAAAATTGAGGATTCGAAAAATTAGTATACGATCACAACTGCAAAGTTTGGTGAATTGATTTCGATGAAACGCCAACCAAGACGGAACTGTTGAGTGCCGTCATATCAGTGTTTTTGACCCTCCTGGCTTTGTGGAGCATTTCGTGGTCAAGGGAAAAATGCTGCTTCGGGTGGTGTCGCGGAACAGATAGTTGGATGGGACGATCCGGAGAGCCTCAGAGTGAAATGGTTGCTTTGGATAGAGGAGAAAATTGAGGCATTTCTATTTACCGCGATTGATGCTGTTGGTACCTTACGGGTACAAGCTTGTGGTAACTTGCTGTTGTTTTGTTTGTTGAAAGGTGTATTTACAGGTAGTAACCCAATGAACAAAAGGTAGTAACCATTTCTTTCTTTCTCTTTGAATTTAATCACAATTTGTTATTATTTCATTTTGCCTAAAATATTTGTTATCGAAGCAAGGCGTACTCCATGCTTTTGAGAATCGTTGCTCTGTATGCTTCGACTTACAAACTATTCCGTGGAGTAAGTACCCAATACAGTTCGATACTTCGCTGTATGCGTTGCTTGCGGACGGCAGTTCTTATGTCTTAGCATATACGAGAAGGGGGTTCAATAATTTGATGTTTCTCCATACGAGTGGTTTAACTATTTCCGCGAAGGAACGATGGTATGACTTGTAAAAATTTGTAAGAACAGAATAATTTTCCTGTAAATCTTAGCGTTGTAGCACGTTGCATTAATTTTGCTTAGCAGTATTTTTATTAGCCCGTAATGATTTATAACACAAATGTAAAATACAACAGACGTTATAAAAACCTTATCATCTAAATGACACCGCTTTCAATCCATTCCCTCAGTTTAGATTTTTGTATCTTTAGTGTATGTGTCCATGGAAATTCTTTGACGAATTTCACGCCACCTCTTAAACGATTTTTATCCTCAACCCTCGTGTTTACGTAGTTGATAATTTCTTCAGGTTTTACACTATGCTCCTTATCGTTCAACTGAACCACGGCTGTGGGAAGGTATCCGAATATTTCATCTTTCAAACCAAGAACTGCCGCGTTTTGAATGGAACGATGGCTTAAAAGAACTTCCTCTATTTCTCTGGGGTAAATGTGAAGGTTGCCGAATTTAAATGTATCTTTTACCCTACCGATAATAAAGAAACATCTCTGCTCGTTGTAGTAAGCTAAATCGCCAGTTCTGTACCAACCGTCAGAATCAAAGAGGTCCGGTGATTCGTAATTTAGGTAGCCCTTCATTAGGTATTTAGTTTTCAATCTGAGTTCACCGTGATGATTTGGCCCTAATATTTCTTCCGTTTCCGTATCCACCACCTGGAAGTGCAGCTCAATTAAATTATCGAATACCATACTCGATGCTAAAAGGTTGGGCGACGTACTTTATAAGAAATTCCATCTTTAGCGAGGCCAATTGACGTCGGAAACTCTCGACGAAGCTTGTCGCTCCGTTGGTCTTCCGGAAATGCTGCAACAGTACTAAATATTTCACTTTGGCCGTAGCTCGGACAAACAATCGTTTTAGAAAACATTTTCTGGAGCTTTAGTAAATAATCTTTGGATGTATAGTTTCCGCCAATCAACAACCGTTTTAAATTTTCCAAGTCGAAATGCTGAGGTTTCTGGTACTTAAAAAACTCCTCACTAGATACCGGCGAAATTAACATGAAGTCTACTTTATAATTTGAAATTTTCCAAAGCTCTCCGATATTGAATCTATAAAATACGATTCTCTTAAAGCCGTTGAGTATGGTTTCGTGCATCCATCTGTTGAATAGAGATCGCCATGGCGGATTGAACACGGCATACGTTTTGGATTCCCCATTGTTACTAAAATTTAATTATTCATTACGTTATTCAAGGTTTGTAGTTATTACTTACTGGTATCTAACTCTCATGGAGGAATGGGTGTGACAAATACCTTTAGGCCTGCTTGTTGTACCGCTGCTAAACGAAACGAAAACAGTTTCCTCCAAACTGTTAGCTTCGTACACCCTGAAAACGTTCTCATTGTCGTACCGTTGTAAAAACTCCGTAAATGGGATGTGCTTCTTCGTTCCACCAAACACCACCAGTGGTAACTGCCCACCAAGCTCGCGCACAACTTCTTCCATTAAGCCTTCGCTTTGCTGTCTGGCGAAAACCATCTTTGGCAAAACTTGCCTTAAGAAAAAAACGATTTCTTCCGCTGACATGGATGGGTCAACGTTAGCCGTTATCGCACCAATAAATATCGCAGCAATATATACTACGCCAGCATCCATATCGTTCACTGTACACATGGACACAAAATCTCCAGGTTTAATTCCCCTATTTTTCATCGCGATTGCTGTTCTAACACAGCGTTTCAGGAAATTTTCGTAAGTTTCTTCCTTATTTGTATGTCCATCAACCTATGAACACTAAAGAGCTCATTA